TAAATCATTCACCACTAGAGTAAACAAGACAAAGGATAAAGGATCCCCCTTCTATAACCCCACTGTAAGCCTTGAATCTATCTCAAGGTTTCCCATTCATAATAAACAAANACAGAAAAGAATATAATATCATCTGCAAGTTGCAAATGAGAAATTGTAATCCTCTCCCTCCCTAATCACACACCCATCCACTCAATTACATCTCTCTGCCCTCTACATCAATCTACTTAGGGTCTTAAATCATTCACCACTAGAGTAAACAAGACAAAGGATAAAGGATCCCCCTTCTCTAACCCCACTGTAAGCCTTGAATCTATCTCAAGGTTTCCCATTCATAATAAACAAAAAATTCTCAAATTCCACACCCCCTAATCCAATTTCTACATCTCTCACAAAAGCCGTATTCTTCCACCGCATTATCCAGAAAATCCCAATCCACATAATTATAAAATTTTTCAAAATCAATCTTCACTACAACACCTTTGTCCCCCTTCCCCTTCCCTTACCCCTACCCCTAGTACTACTCAACAACCTCATTAGCAACAAGTGTCGCATCCATAATATATCTCCCTCTAACAAAAACCCTTTGATATTTTGANAATTTTTCAAAATCAATCTTCACTACAACACCTTTGTCCCCCTTCCCCTTCCCTTACAAGTGTCGCATCCATAATATATCTCCCTCTAACAAAAACCCTTTGATATTTTGAAATTGTGTCTCCTAAACACTCCCTTAAACTTATAGAAAGAACTTTAGAAATAATTTTGTACAAATTAGTAACCAAACTAATAGACCTAAAATCCTTAATCTTCATAAAATTAACTTTCTTAGGGATAAGGCAAATATATGTAGAATTTGTAACTCCATTGATAATTCCCTTATAAAAGAACTCCTCAAACACTCCCATCAAATCATCTTTTAGTATATCCCAACACACCTGATAAATAGCCATAGTGAAACCGTCTGGCCTAAGAGCCTTTTCCTTACTACATTCAAAAACAGCTTCTTTAATGTCCTCTACCTCAAAAGGTTTCTCCATCCATCCATCCAGCAACACTCTCATCAATAGAGCACCAGTCAAGACCCCAGACAATAGGTTTATCACCAACATTACTCTAATACAAGTTACCAAAAAACTGATGATCTCACTCTCAATGATATACCCACATCCTCAATTATAGACTCATCCTCAAGCTGCTGCTTATCAATGTACTTCCTCCCCCTATTACCATTTACCACTCTATGAACAAATTTTGAATTATTATCATCCTCTTTAACTCATTTAACACTTAATTTTTGTCTCAAACTAATCTCTTCTTTGAACACCACCTCCTCAAACTTATTCCTAAACTTATCTCTCTCTTCAACTCTTCATCCATTCCGCCATTCCCTTCTATGCTATCAATATACTCAATCCTCTCCGAAATGACCTTTTTTGCCTCTCTAACATCACCAAACACCTCTTTGTTCTAAACCTTAAGCTTATGCTTTAAAACCTCAAGCTTTTTCATAAATCTAAATCCTTCTCATACTTGAACCCTAGCCTCTTGCCACCATTCTCTACTCATTGCTCTAAAATCCCTATGTTCCACCCACATGTTCTCTCTAAAATCCCTATTGCAAAAGGTCAAAAAACTACAAAGATTTATACTTTCAGCTGGCCAAACTCCAAGCCATTAAAGCAGGATATTATTAGGCAAACATGCAGCACAGATCCTTCACTCAAACGTAGGCAATGAAATTTGACTATTTTGTGGAAAGAGGCTTCACTCAAACCATCTAGCTTTCCCAATAATTGTATACTCAGTTGACTATTTTGTGCAGCTCACTACTGTCAATATTTCAGAATTTTCAGAATAATTTAAAATTAGGCCAAAACTTTCAGAAAAAAAGGATAAGGTTGTTTCTACAAGTAAACGTGATCAACATAAAGAGTAGTGAATATTAAACATACTATCTAAAGCTAAAGTAGCTTTAAGAAGATGAAGCCAGATAAGGACACAAAGATACTCTTATTGAAGATTCAACCACATTTAAGATGATATTATGTAGCCTGTATCACAGGCAGTTAAACTAGATCATCATGATGATTGTTCAATGCTTTCTGATAATATCAGTGTATGTGACAACGCTAAAATTTGACCACAGTTTTTGCACATATTGTTCGAAAAACCCAGAAAATGCCATGTAATTTTGAAGCAAGTTCAAAGTCTATTCCCTTCCCCCAACCCCCCCAATAAATACCCTCTGGGAAAATGGAAGACAAAAGTTGAGAAAATAAGTAAGAGCAAAGAAAAAAGAGATACAAATAAAACCTAGAATGATTGAACAGCCAAGCATCCATGACTAGAAACAATGCTTTTTTTCTGGATACAGGTGAAACTTGAAATAAAATGCACCGTGGCCTGGATATACCTTTGCTACTGCCGTTCCTGATCCCATGGCAACTCCGATGTCTGCTTTCTTTAGTGCAGGTGCGTCATTGACTCCATCACCAGTCATTGCAACCTTACAGCACAAGTATTTGAGAATGAATTTCTCAAGCAAAAGGAAACATAATTCCAATGTGTATCAGAAAGAAAGCAAATGCATTGCACATAAAGAATAACAACATACTGCTAAAAAAATCATGTTTTCAGAAGAAACAACAATTATAGAGGACTGAAATAATGGAGTCATATACAGAAACCAATTGTACAGGCAACAGTGCCAGCACCTAAAATCAGCAAACATGGATGAAATAGCATGCAACAATCAAGATGTAGAGAGGCCAGGTTAGTAAATGATGAGTTTGGAGAAGTGCCTAATAAGTGGCACTACTATACCTTAAGAAACCGTGGGCAGAGCCCAACTCAGCTCCACTTGATCAGATAATAAAGGTTATCTACTCTACTCCTCGAAAATGTTCATATACATTGCATCCAAAAGCAGTGGAACAGGAACTATTTCTCCTATGCTCAAAAAATTGTTAGGGAACATAGAATAATTGAGGTAACTCCTAATTGAGGTAACTGGAAAACTAGTTGAACCATAGATATGGGGATCGTAGATACCCACACGTCTCATGAACCAAAGTCATACGACTCAAAACGAGGTCAGTTCGCAACTCATCTCACCAAAATTTCAGACCATAAATTGCAACTCAACCCCCAAATAGACCCACCACCTAGGTCACCCCAAATTATAACCCTAACCNCACGTCTCATGAACCAAAGTCATACGACTCAAAACGAGGTCAGTTCGCAACTCATCTCACCAAAATTTCAGACCACAAATTGTAACTCAACCCCCAAATAGACCCACCACCTAGGTCACCCCAAATTATAACCCTAACCCTCATTGATACTCTAATTGATTATTCCTTCATTTTAGTGATCTTTAAACTTATATTTTGATTTGTTGAGCTTTGAATTTTTTCATAATACAAATATGCAACAACTAGCTTTTATTGTTTACTTTTTTAATAGAAAACAAGAGACTATCATGAATACCAAAAAAAGTACAGGAGAGGACAAGGAGTCCTCGAAATGAAAAAAGAAGAGGAAAAAAGAAAACTATAAGCTTAACTTAGAAAACAAAACGATACCTTTCATCCTCAACAATCGGCACACATTTCAGCCCAATGATCCTTAATAGATAAGGACAATATTACTTCAAAATCATTATTTCCTCTTCAAAAGCACCGACTAGTTTGTATTATTTAGAACCATTACCCAGTACGTTGTCCTGTATAATGGTTCATTTAAAACTCTTATCAAACATATAAAACTAATATTGTTAACTATGTATGTATGGACCCTTTGGAGACATGGCTATTCCAGTAATAGCCTCAATATAAAGAGTCCCACAAACCTGGACCTGTGGGTTACTCCAAGAGCAACGCAAATATCAGCTATCTCTGTGTCAGCAAGATTGACAAATCAACAAAAAGGGAGGACATTTAATGTCATCAAATATCAAGAGCCGTTTGGTCAGAGATACAAGTTAGAGACACAGGACTTTTCCTCAACAAAGCTTCACAAAGACGTAATAGAATGCTCCAAACTTAGACAAAACTGAATATGTCACGGCCCACCCTGATGACTATACCAGGCTAATTCTGAGCAAAATCCAGTTTAGCTACTATATGTCATCATAGTATTCACCAAGCAGAAACTCCAATCTATAAACAACCACAAGTTAACAAGGTAGCTAACTTACAGGAAGAGTAGCCACAGTTGGTGGGTCTAGTATATTTACTTTATATGGTCAAAAAGATTCGTACTATGTTACGAGGGAGCAATGCTATTCTCACCAAATGGCATACTCACCACTTCAGCGAAGTGGATCCATGAACATCTACTGGTAACTGTGCCACATCATTTAGTGAGGGAAATTCGGTGTTGAAATTTGGCAACTGTAGCATTAGTGGTCCAAGGATGCATAGAAACAGAGGATTGTCTTTCTGATCTAAAATTAAGAGATTGCATAATCTTGGAATCACTCAGATAATAGAAGGAGATCTACCACTTCATTTTGGTGCTGTAATGCTTCAACCAGCATCCTTTTATGAGATGGTTCAANCCAGAGCAACGCAAATATCAGCTATCTCTGTGTCAGCAAGATTGACAAATCAACAAAAAAGGGAGGACATTTAATGTCATCAAATATCAAGAGCCGTTTGGTCAGAGATACAAGTTAGAGACACAGGACTTTTCCACAACAAAGCTTCACAAAGACGTAATAGAATGCTCCAAACTTAGACAAAACTGAATATGTCACGGCCCACCCTGATGACTATACCAGGCTAATTCTGAGCAAAATCCAGTTTAGCTACTATATGTCATCATAATATTCACCAAGCAGAAACTCCAATCTATAAACAACCACAAGTTAACAAGGTAGCTAACTTACAGGAAGAGTAGCCACAGTTGGTGGGTCTAGTATATTTACTTTATATGGTCAAAAAGATTCGTACTATGTTACGAGGGAGCAATGCTATTCTCACCAAATGGCATACTCACCACTTCAGCGAAGTGGATCCATGAACATCTACTGGTAACTGTGCCACATCATTTAGTGAGGGAAATTCGGTGTTGAAATTTGGCAACTGTAGCATTAGTGGTCCAAGGATGCATAGAAACAGAGGATTGTCTTTCTGATCTAAAATTAAGAGATTGCATAATCTTGGAATCACTCAGATAATAGAAGGAGATCTACCACTTCATTTTGGTGCTGTAATGCTTCAACCAGCATCCTTTTATGAGATGGTTCAACCCTAACAAGGAAATAAAATAGATGAATACACACAGACAAACAAAGTGTAATGGATGCAAAACTGCAATGAAATAGGATGATGATGCCATGTATAAACGGGAACAAGAAACATTTAGGTATACCTTGTGAACAGTTTCATGTGTTGCAATGCCACTGTTTTTTGCAATGCAGGCAGTGCTTCAAATTCAGAAGCAGTATAAGAGTGTCCAGCAAATTCTATTAAGTGATCAAAAGCACCTATCTTCTGATACAGTGACTCTGCAGTGGCCTAAAGAATTATCACAAATTAGAAAAAGTGATTGCAAAACCAAAAGAAAGAAAAGAAATGCAGAATAGGAATGGTCATTTAGTGCTACCTTGTTATCCCCTGTCACAACTATAACACGTATCCCAGCGGTCATGCACGAGAGTATAGCATTTCTCACTCCCTCTCTTGGTGGATCAAGCATTCCAACCTTGTTTTTCAAAGATACAAATAAATAAAGCAAATAGAGATGAATGACAACATGATTAGACGCCAATCAAAGGGATCACTTATTTCAATGGTTCAATAGGGTGCAGCCCATAGTTATCAGATCACCAAAATGTATGATCCTAAATTATACACGTAGCACAAATATAAAATACATATTAATTAACTACGTATGTATAAATTTATAATTATATATTATTTTAGATAATAGAAAATCGAGCACAAATGTAAGATACATGATAACTGAATTAGTGTTTATGGATGTTATATGATATATAATNTATTTTTCAAAGATACAAATAAATAAAGCAAATAGAGATGAATGACAACATGAGTAGACGCCAATCAAAGGGATCACTTATTTCAATGGTTCAATAGGGTGCAGCCCATAGTTATCAGAATTCACTGAACTCATGACGACCCACAGGAGTACATCGATCCCAAACGGGGTGAATTCGCGATACAGATCACCAAAATGTATGATCCTAAATTATACACGTAGCACAAATATAAAATACATATTAATTAACTACGTTATGTATAAATTTATAATTATATATTATTTTAGATAATAGAAAATCGAGCACAAATGTAAGATACATGATAACTGAATTAGTGTTTATGGATGTTATATGATATATAATATTGTATAGTGGTGAAAACAATCTAGATAAGATTTCCAAAATGAATTACAATCCAAAATAGCATACCAAGTAAGTATATCTTCATTGTACCGCGTACCTAAGAAAATATTATACCACATACACGTACCCGTATCACATACCAAAGTGACTCAGGATCCTTGGTCTAGTCACTCAAGTTTCATATGACAAAAATCATATATTTACAACTGTTTAATGAGAAATTTACTTTCGATTAGACTATATGCGTGATTTCTAAGTTAATGATCATATATAGAGATTGGTTTTAGGCATTCTACTACTGGTCTTTGAGTTTATGATACCCATTTTAGTATTTTTGTTTCTAATCCTTACTATATGAGCATTTTTTTGCCATTAATATCAATTTTGGCAGCCATCTTCACCCAAAAAAAATTTTAGCTTCCAATCAATTTTTGGTCCGCCCAACCCACCAAATTGACCAAATCTAAGCAACTAGAGCAACCCAATGAACGTCAAACCTCATAACCCGCACAACCCGACTATGTTCACCCCTTGTTAGAACTAAGAATATGATTTCATAAAGAGCTGTAATCATCATCAACATGGTGTTTACATGGAATCACTTCCACCATCCTCGTGGAATTTTGAGATTATCACTGTTGTCTTTGCATCTTTTCCTTCCTCTTCTCCTATCAACAATGAATGAGGGTGTTTCTTGTTCATTTAAGATACGGGTGAATATGTAGGCTTAGTTCTTACTCATCCCTCATTTGTAATCAAAAGATCAAACAATTCCTATAGGGTTTCAACAATCAAACATTTTAAGTACAACATTGTCTTGATTTCAGATTTAATAGAGTGAGAGGCGTATACAATCATGAACTGCTAGACGGTTAAAATAATTCTAATCCAAGGATATTGAAAACATCTTTAGGAGTTACACTTTCTGAGAAAATTGCTGTAGCTACTGTTTTCCCTATTCTTTGTCCTGAGGATGATCCCCAAGAGCAAGCTTTCAACAAAATGTTTCCTGTCCAAAGTTTCCCCAGCTGCACAGAATATAACCCATGATTCCATCACCAACACCAACACCAACTGAGAAATCAAGTGAATATCCTACATCATCTACTCCAAAAATACCACTTAAATTGGGAGGCCAGATTCCTGGGAATGATTTAAAGAGTCTCCTGAAAAAAAAATCATAGAGGTGGTGTGTGCTAGCTTTCAAATGTTTATGTTCACCAGTTCCTTTTTCCCTTTTCTCTTCCTTTTGTGTTGGAAGTTTAACCTAATATATCAAGCATTTATTTTGAGTGAGTCATGAGACATAATAGAACCGTCCTATGTACTAGACTAGTAAGTAGTAGTAAGTAGTAACAAACATTGGATGGCAAGACAAATTCACAGATGTTTGAGTCCTGGTGTTTGTTTAACTTGTATGGTTTTGTCCAGCTACAGTGAAGTAGTAGTAGTAAATAGAAACTTTGAGACTTTTAGAAAAAAAAAAAAAGCTAAGATTCTGTGAAGTTGTGTGTTGATGGCGATTCTTGGGAATAGATTGCTATAGAGGAATTCAAGAATCTTCAAAAATTGGTTTATTACATTCCAATTAGTTTGGGGAAGAATTGTGTTTCTTGCTTCTTTATGGACCAAATCCATACGGAATTCCAAAGGGGTATCTTTGTCGGATCTCCAACAGGATCAAAAGCCAACTCTAAATTAGTCTTTTCCTTTTCATGCTTTCGTTATCTCTTTTGTTTCTTTTATTTATTGTAAGGATACCTTGTCCTCCATATTGTAAGACTTTTATCTCTTCTCAATGTTAATAATTAACTTCTTCTTTTATCAAAAAACTCACAAGCGGACAATGCGATGTGGAAAAGAAAGTGTACCAATCCAATAAACGTAAGGTCTTTTTCATCATCAATGGACAGAGACTTCTGACCCAATGGCATCCTCTTCAAGGCTAATGCCAGACATCTCAAAGTTTCTTTTCCTGCAAAACTGAACAATAACCAATTTTTATCCTGGCATAAGGCCAAGAAAAAGAGAAATCGCGTGCACAACGGTGAAGCATTCAAAAATCCAACCGAAGACATCCATGAGATCAGTTAAATCATTTGAAGTTTTCATAAATTTGAAAGTTCTACTCCTATATTTTCAAAATATATTTTCTTCCAGCACCAGCTTCTCCTCCTTAATAGTTTTATGCGAACAAAATTTTGTCCTTTATAAAATCAACTTGTGTGACTTTCCGTATCAATTGAAAATTTGCTTCATTCTTCAATTTCTAACGATGACAAAAAATAGAAAGATAAGAAATAATATCCAATTAATTGAAATTGATCATTTCCATAATGTGAGGATTTGAGTAGTCATTTGGTTTTGTGATAAATGCCTTCCAGCAAACTAAGGGCCTTAAATCTATCTACACTGCTTCACTAGAACAAAGAATGAAAGGATCTCCAAACAAAGAGCAGGCAAGACAGCAAAAAAATGAATTTTGCATTAATGTATATATCGTTGCATAAAACTTCAAAAACCAAAATAATTAACTATCAAACGGAGTAAGAAAAGAATGTTAATCAAAATGGCTGGCAACCTGAAATATTTTATCATGACAAAAGATCAGCCAAAGGTATAGGTCCAGATCTATCCCAACAAATCTTGACAAACATGATAAACGTTAAGTCATATTCACCCGCCAACTAAAGAGAAGAAAAATGGAGATGGTTGACTAGAGAAAGATGTTTTTGAATGAATTTCAAGGAAAATAAACCTGACCTGTGAAATCTTGACTCCAACTCGGCTCGAATATTTGCAGTTAGCGGAATAGTGGAACCATCATCATTGCATAGAATATTTGTGCATCTAGAGATTATAGATTCCGGAGCACCTTTTGAGAACATAATCTCCATTTGCTTTCGGCTACAAAGGACGCTCATCATTTTGCGATCACGAGAAAACTCCAAAACAGAGACCTGCAAGGAGTTCGATTCTCAAGCATGATACAACAGAAAGAAATCAGACAATGGTGCCTATGACAAGTGCTTGTCACCATATATTGAATGTTATTGGATTTGGATTTCATTCAACTTTATGCAGACCTAATGGTCAAATTCTCAATTGTCTAGTTCCTTTGACAGAAGTACAAGAACATCATCAAAATTTGGGAGGACAGATAGAAAGGAAACGAGAGGAAGAAGAGGGGTTGGAAGCGGAGGGAGNCAGCATTGTCTTGATTTCAGATTTAATAGAGTGAGAGGCGTATACAATCATGAACTGCTAGACGGTTAAAATAATTCCAATCCAAGGATATTGAAAACATCTTTAGGAGTTACACTTTCTGAGAAAATTGCTGTAGCTACTGTTTTCCCTATTCTTTGTCCTGAGGATGATCCCCAAGAGCAAGCTTTCAACAAAATGTTTCCTGTCCAAAGTTTCCCCAGCTGCACAGAATATAACCCATGATTCCATCACCAACACCAACACCAACTGAGAAATCAAGTGAATATCCTACATCATCTACTCCAAAAATACCACTTAAATTGGGAGGCCAGATTCCTGGGAATGATTTAAAGAGTCTCCTGAAAAAAAAATCATAGAGGTGGTGTGTGCTAGCTTTCACATGTTTATGTTCACCAGTTCCTTTTTCCCTTTTCTCTTCCTTTTGTGTTGGAAGTTTAACCTAATATATCAAGCATTTATTTTGAGTGAGTCATGAGACATAATAGAACCGTCCTATGTACTAGACTAGTAAGTAGTAGTAAGTAGTAACAAACATTGGATGGCAAGACAAATTCACAGATGTTTGAGTCCTGGTGTTTGTTTAACTTGTATGGTTTTGTCCAGCTACAGTGAAGTAGTAGTAGTAAATAGAAACTTTGAGACTTTTAGAAAAAAAAAAAAAGCTAAGATTCTGTGAAGTTGTGTGTTGATGGCGATTCTTGGGAATAGATTGCTATAGAGGAATTCAAGAATCTTCAAAAATTGGTTTATTACATTCCAATTAGTTTGGGGAAGAATTGTGTTTCTTGCTTCTTTATGGACCAAATCCATACGGAATTCCAAAGGGGTATCTTTGTCGGATCTCCAACAGGATCAAAAGCCAACTCTAAATTAGTCTTTTCCTTTTCATGCTTTCGTTATCTCTTTTGTTTCTTTTATTTATTGTAAGGATACCTTGTCCTCCATATTGTAAGACTTTTATCTCTTCTCAATGTTAATAATTAACTTCTTCTTTTATCAAAAAACTCACAAGCGGACAATGCGATGTGGAAAAGAAAGTGTACCAATCCAATAAACGTAAGGTCTTTTTCATCATCAATGGACAGAGACTTCTGACCCAATGGCATCCTCTTCAAGGCTAATGCCAGACATCTCAAAGTTTCTTTTCCTGCAAAACTGAACAATAACCAATTTTTATCCTGGCATAAGGCCAAGAAAAAGAGAAATCGCGTGCACAACGGTGAAGCATTCAAAAATCCAACCGAAGACATCCATGAGATCAGTTAAATCATTTGAAGTTTTCATAAATTTGAAAGTTCTACTCCTATATTTTCAAAATATATTTTCTTCCAGCACCAGCTTCTCCTCCTTAATAGTTTTATGCGAACAAAATTTTGTCCTTTATAAAATCAACTTGTGTGACTTTCCGTATCAATTGAAAATTTGCTTCATTCTTCAATTTCTAACGATGACAAAAAATAGAAAGATAAGAAATAATATCCAATTAATTGAAATTGATCATTTCCATAATGTGAGGATTTGAGTAGTCATTTGGTTTTGTGATAAATGCCTTCCAGCAAACTAAGGGCCTTAAATCTATCTACACTGCTTCACTAGAACAAAGAATGAAAGGATCTCCAAACAAAGAGCAGGCAAGACAGCAAAAAAATGAATTTTGCATTAATGTATATATCGTTGCATAAAACTTCAAAAACCAAAATAATTAACTATCAAACGGAGTAAGAAAAGAATGTTAATCAAAATGGCTGGCAACCTGAAATATTTTATCATGACAAAAGATCAGCCAAAGGTATAGGTCCAGATCTATCCCAACAAATCTTGACAAACATGATAAACGTTAAGTCATATTCACCCGCCAACTAAAGAGAAGAAAAATGGAGATGGTTGACTAGAGAAAGATGTTTTTGAATGAATTTCAAGGAAAATAAACCTGACCTGTGAAATCTTGACTCCAACTCGGCTCGAATATTTGCAGTTAGCGGAATAGTGGAACCATCATCATTGCATAGAATATTTGTGCATCTAGAGATTATAGATTCCGGAGCACCTTTTGAGAACATAATCTCCATTTGCTTTCGGCTACAAAGGACGCTCATCATTTTGCGATCACGAGAAAACTCCAAAACAGAGACCTGCAAGGAGTTCGATTCTCAAGCATGATACAACAGAAAGAAATCAGACAATGGTGCCTATGACAAGTGCTTGTCACCATATATTGAATGTTATTGGATTTGGATTTCATTCAACTTTATGCAGACCTAATGGTCAAATTCTCAATTGTCTAGTTCCTTTGACAGAAGTACAAGAACATCATCAAAATTTGGGAGGACAGATAGAAAGGAAACGAGAGGAAGAAGAGGGGTTGGAAGCGGAGGGAGGAAGGTAGGGAGAGAGAGAGGAGAACCAGCTTACAATAATTTCTAAATTAACAAAATCAACGCAAAAACATAGCCTTGAAGCCTCTGCCTTAGTGATATTGGGTTCCCCATAACAAACATTCAATTTTATTGCAGTTTTAACATACTAAATGTATAGAGATGTTATAGTAACTTATCTCTCAGCCTCCATAATTCGATGATGCACACTTCCCATTGTTAAAGACCATCCAAAAGGAGTAAAAACACGATGTTTAAGCCTCATAAATCAAAAACACACCGAAAATGAAAATCAAATAGTACACTCAACCATGTGCATACTGAGTCTTCAGAAACAGATAATTTCCCTGTTCTTATACAAGAATTGAAAGTTATTGTTTCCCCAAAAAAAAGGTGAATTTGTTCGTGCTATGTTAAGGATTGCATGATGCAATACAGCATTTTAGATATAGAGAATCAAGGTATACAAATGTTGAGTAATAATTAGTAAAGAAGAAGCAAAGATGTGTTCATTTTCTTTGCAACAGCTGAATAATGTGAAAACTCTCTGGGATGTTGCATAAGAAAGATATTTATCATCAAAGTGGTCAAAAGTTGAAAAGTTGCAGGCAAATGGGATCGACATACACTGATAAAAACTGCTAGAATTTCCAACATATGAGAAATTAGACAACACTGTGATTTCTTCATCATTGGTGGCCAGGCACCAAAAGGAAAACAAGGAGCATATTTATATAAACCAGCAAGAAAGCATATACAAATCCATCGCCGTTCCTTTAAAAACATCATTAAATCATGCCTCATTTGTTCATGGTGAAAGAACCAGAAAATATATAGAAATTATATATGAAAGCAAACCTTTTTGAATTGGTTCTCCCAATAGCGATTACAGTAAGATGCTCTTTCATGCTTACTTAGCATATGCAGTGCAGAAGGCAAGGAATCATAACCAGGAAGACCAACCTGGTAAGAAACAGCAACATCCAGAACGTTTGCCTTACAGTCGCATTAAAATCACAAAAAAAGAAGTGAACACAGAAAATGAATAAGGACACAGAACCACAGTAGCAGCTGACTGCCACTTTTGGTAAAGCCAGATAATAAGACCAACCTTTTCAGCCAATACACGAAGGGCAACTTCAGTTGACTCGCCAATCTTTTCATAATTCCTCTTTTCTGCATTGTATTGTATAACAGATTCGTTGCAAAGGGCTGAACATGTAGCTATGTGGAGAAGACAAGGGAATTGAGCTGGAAACTCTAGCTGCAAAAAGTTACAGAACATAGGGATATAACATTGCAGATGGGAGATCCTAACAGGCCTATCTGTCACCCTTTACCAGACTAGAATCATAAAGTACCAGAATGTTCACTTCATAATAAATGAAAACATTTTTTCATATTTATGGCCAGGAAAAAAGGTACCACAATGTTGAGCTACATATTTTGCATTAAAGTTTTAGATGGCCAAGAATGTTGGCTAGATTCCAAATATTCAAGAATACCACATAGGACTTCGAGAACCTTTGAACATCAGTTTTTTAGTGATGATCTTTGGTGTCTCTCTTCTTGTGCACTTTTATTTTTGACACATATTTGAAGTTTAAACTCCAAAAACTTAAAAAGATAACTATGAGAAACTTTAATTTATAAAAAATAAATGCCCACCTCTTTGGTTTCTTTCATAAACAGAAAGAGAGAGACAGCAGCTAACCTAAATTGCCATCTTAACGTTACCAGAGAAATTACATACTTAGCATAATAGCCAACACACAATACTAAAGCGAAAAACATAATAAATGTATGCCAACTATCTCGTTTGATGAGAACTGTAATTAAATACAAGGTATCGAAAGACATCAAATCTGAGGGATAGGTGAACAAACTCATCCTAGTAACACGTCAATGAATGCATGATTCACACCACAAGTATTGATACATAACAGATATAAAGAACCAAGTGACTTGTATCTCGGAAAATATTGATATTACTTAAAAGGCTAAAAAAGATATGGTATTAGGGGCACCTTACGAGAAAATTTTACCTGCACCCCAGTGCTGTCAAAAATAAAGCCCTCTGGTGCATATGTTGTCCCACTGACACTGTATTCGGCAGCAATAGAACCTTGGTTTATAGAATGAAGCACACATATCTGGACAGACATGAAGGCCACATTAACTTAGCCATGGCAAAAAATATAATTCAATGTCAACTACAAATAACATGATGAATAAGCAATATTGTACGTATTACTGCTGAATGTGTTTTAAAATGTCAACAAACTACTTCTGTTTTTCCCCGTAATAACTGAAGACAAACAAAGAGAAAGAATAATTAAGAAAAGAGAAAATTTGCTAAACAGACACATACACACACACAAAAAAAAGTCAAAAAACAACAGGTTAGCTCAAGCATGACAACAGGGGCTTTGAAGAGTGACAACATGGTTTCAAGTCCAAGGACAGCCACTGGGTGCAATAATGCAAAACTTAGGCGATAGGTTTCTACTTGTCCACCACCTCAGCACCCACTATTAAAGGGGACCAACAACTAGTGAAAGCCCTGTGCATCTAACTGAAGCCCCGATCCCTGATTTGCTTGACTAAAAATATTTCTTGTTCTGAATTCCAACATATCTATTTGTGTTTGGTATCCTTCATCGCTTTCCTTTGATAAAGTATAATACAGAATTTATCACAATCAGATTGTATATAAATATATGATAGATCTATCAGAACCTCAAAGCATCATGATAAAGAATTTATCATGATCATATGCTACATTGGATTTCTTGGACCATTAAAGCATAATGATGCCGCATAACTGTTTAATGAAAAATTAGATCATAATTAGGTCACCAACACTATGTCAAAAAGGTATATAATACCAATAAAAGAGGCAAGGAAAGCAACAGCAAATTTAGAAAACACACGTACAAAATCCAACAACTAAGCAGAATAACATACTAAAAAGCTAAAGAAAAAAATCAGGCCTGTCAGCAGCATCATTATTGCCAAGCAACTTCTAGGAAAAGTTTCAAAACAACTTTTCAATAGGGCACATATTCTGCTAAAAAGAAAGTGAAACAAAGGGAATTTATACTTCAAGATAAACCTACATGTATGATATATATGAAATAATAAGGAAAAAGTGTGATCAGGTAATCCAAAACAAGCACTTGCAATATCTATCATCGGTCACAACAGCAACAATAACAAAGTATAGGTCATAAAAATTATCTTCTTACTGCCAATATTCTCAGATAATCACCTTCGAGACAGACATCATATTGGTAGTTAGAGTGCCTGTCTTGTCACTGCAAATTACTGTTGTGCAGCCTAAGGTCTCTACAGATGGCAACGACCTTACAATAGCATTCATCCGAGCCATTCGTTTTGTTCCAAGAGCCAAACACCTGTAATATTAGACGCAACAGCATGAGGAAGTTAAGTTGATGGAAAATGTTTGCATCTGAGTACATACTAGATGCTGCCAACCTGAAGAACCATCAACTATGCACATGAATGGAGCCAACAGATGTAAGTAGCAATGAAGCATTTCCAAACACCTAAGTTTAAATGCAAAAATCGACGGAAAAATGAATAAAACTCAATCGAGCATCTAACATGTCCATTGATAACNGAAGCATTTCCAAACACCTAAGTTTAAATGCACCAATCGACGGAAAAATGAATAAAACTCAATCGAGCATCTAACATGTCCATTGATAACATGATGCCGGGATCAGTTTAATTTGAAATGCAAGCAACAGATTTCTGGCATTTTACCCCTTTCTTTTTTCTTTTATTTTTTGTGGTCTAAGGTCTTAGGTCTTAGCACTTTGTCTTTTTTAGAAACCATAAGCATGAAAAAAAACTTTCTACTGTACATGAATCAAATCAAAAAAATTACATGATACAAAAGCAGAACACAAAAGGAACGGGATTTTTCAATCATAAAATTTCACAAGAAGTAGACCTCACAAACAACCTTAAACAAAGAATTTACAGATGCACGCCTTAATGTTTCCAATTGTTTTCTTCATTCTGAATTTTATAAAAAAAACTGTAACACATAATTCATTAGAGCTGATGTCTTATTATTCTAGGGCTGAGAAGTAGTGATATGTAGGCATCCCCTCACACATATTTGAATACAAAGACATTTTTCACAGCAATTTATGACAAACAACAGCAGGATCTAGACGTTCTGACTTCTGACCCAAGAAATTTCAACCATCTTCATCGATTCATGAATAAAGGAACTAAAGCATCTTACTATCCATGATGCATTCATGTTGGATATCAAATAAACAAAACAATAACAAAATTAATAGAATATAAGGACCCCACTACTCACCTCAGTAATGAATAAAAACTTCACTCAATGGTTAACAACGCACGTAAGATTATTAGAAAAATTCACCTAAATATACTAAGAGTTGAATGGAGAATTTTTTATGCAAGTTTTGCTTCAACTTGGTGACTTTTTTTACATCTAGTAACAACGAAGTGAAAATAATCAGAAGTACCGACACATGAATGCAATACACGTCTCAAGTTGACACCAATTTCATGGTCTATATCACAAATTCACTATGTTGTCAAGAACAAATATATGACAGTTATGACTAACAAGAGTATTGGGTCAATACTCACGTAGTAACAACAGCAGGAAGCCCTTCAGGAATTGCTGCAACAGCTAGAGCAACTGCAATCTACACAGCCAATATAAATTAGGAAAGAAAACAAATCGCATGTGATCAATGGGCAATGAAACTCGCTGCTTGACATCAGAAATTGAAAAGCAATGTCAAGGACAGAAAGAAGAAATAATTTGCAAAAGAAAGCCATGAGAATAGAATAAATGATCTACAACATGTTTGAGTTTGAGTAAGATGATTGTAACTTATTATGAGAAAACATCACAACTAAAACATGGCATGCAAAAAGGGCTCGTTTGAGATTGTTTTATGACATTATACTTATACATTTCGTCTATAAATGAAATGGAATTCACCTGATTTGTACCGCTTGCACATTTGAAGAAACAATTATAAGTCATTACACATAACTTCTTCTTTTAGTTTGGGCATACAGCTGAATCGGCTTATTAAATTAGACATGTATCAGTTGAATCCATATAACTTGATTCATTATAAATCATGTGACTGAGAAAGAACCAACCTAATCATTAGCTACAAATCAATCTATTAATTGAGTGTCCTGCAGTGCCATTTGTGGTTTTGGGAATGCTCTGTTTGGCATTGTTTCTCCAGGTAAACTGAAGGTATGAATTTTCACGGGGACATATGTGAGGCTATTCATTTAACTGCTACNTGCCATTTGTGGTTTTGGGAATGCTCTGTTTGGCATTGTTTCTCCAGGTAGACTGAAGGTATGAATTTTCACGGGGACATATGTGAGGCTATTCATTTAACTGCTACCCTACAGCCTATTGGGTGAAGCCTTCTATCCTTTTCTAAAAAGTGGTTAGGTGGCAAAGTGGTGGTTGTTTTACCTCTTATAAGTTGATAGGATATTCAAAAAATTTGTGCAAGAATTGACTTGTTTGATTTGATTAGCAGATAGGTAGCATGATGTAAAAGTGTGGAAAACAGCCTCCTATGAAGAATGTCACGAAATTTGATATGAGCAGTGGAAGAAAGGGTTCTTAAAGGGAAGATTAGAGATTATTTTGTGGCTAAATTGCTTGGAACAAGTGTGGGCTTCAAGGGTGTTAAAAGGAAGAAAAAGTGGGCATCGGTATGGGGTTGTAAACAAACAGAATGAGTTTTTGGAACTGTTTTGAGTCTGACACTGGAAAAGTACCTTGAACAGTACTTTGATCTTAGGGATGGGAATGATTAGCCTTTGTGAGATAACATTTGTAGGAGTGAAACACTGGTGCTGACTTTTTAATGGCTTAGGGTTGCAGAAAAAAATTGAAACAGTAGAAGAAGAAGAAAACAAAAAATCTCAATCAACCCTGACAAGTGTTAGCTGATTCACATAAACCTTATCATACTTTCCATAAGTCAACTTTATTGAATTAGTAAATCTATATCTAAGTAGGACTCTATATATCTATTGAAGTTTCTAGGAGGGGTAAACTGGGTACATGCATAACATCTGGCATAACACGGGCAAAGTGGAAGTCCGTAGTTTCAAGCCAACAACCAGTGGATTATTAGCCTAACAACTTTACAATCGAACTAGACAAAGGCCTCCTATTTTTCCCCTTTGGCACAATGACCCCTTATTAATAAGGACTAGCTATCCAAAATGTGCAGCTAACAACTTATGACCCCAAAGACTATCTTAGACTACTTAAGATTGCTTAGAACTCCAAATAAAACACAGATAATATAACTTGACCCAGATTATGGTCCATGGCTGCAGCCTATGTCTAGAACATTCAGAAAATACTGAACACCCTTGACACAAAAAACTAAATAAAAAATGAATAAACTGACTGGCAACATACTAACAAAATTGACACATGATAAAAACTCCTTTAGTTAACAAAGACACTTCCTTTGGACCAAAAAGGCTTCATGTTGTCGTGAGACCCATAACTTAGCTCTAAGTCTCCCAACTGGATGTGTTTTATCTTACGAATCAGTTGCTACCAACCACCCCATAATGAAGTGATGAAATTACCATTAAAAGGAGTGGGGATCAATCAGATACATCGATAGACTAACAATCCGGTCAACTAAATTATCTTCTCTTTAACAGATCGAGCCTAACTTACCTACTCCCGCTCCTTCTGGATCCAAGAGAACCGAACGATTCCAACCCATTAAACTCAAGAGGGAATCCCAAGAAAGGAAGCAAGGATTGACCTCCGACTTTGATAAAGAGTGTGTAAAGTATATACCATTGAGATTCCTTCCGTTTTACTATTACGTGAACAATCAACATGAAGCATTTATCTTCTTGCCTTACCTATTGATGATCTCATCAAAGCATACTCACAAAAATGGGCCAGTACGCATGTCAAAATTCTAATTACTGAACCTGAAGTACTGGTTGACTCTAACTAAAAATATAGGGGAGACGTATTGACGCCTGAGGTCTTTACATTAGCAAGGCAAAGCCAATTACATGGAACGTAGTAAGTCATGCAGGGAATAGAAATGAGAGAGAGAAGGAGGGGGGGGTGTTGACAGCCAGTGGATACTCATAGATAATGTATGGGGAACATATACATACATATGTGTCTCGTCTGATTAATTACCTGATAAGAAAAGTGAGATCAGACAAGATGACTTCATATACCTAGAAACAGAGTAGCAAAGTGGCGAGGTGCATCTAGAATGGTGCTATTGAAAATAAAAATCAAGCTAAAAAAACCAACGTCAAATGACTCATTTGAACCACTTAATTCATGTTATAAATTCAATTCCATTTTTTCATTCTTATATAGAACACCATGGATCAAGTACATCTATTGCAAATTTCACAGGCATCTGAATTAAGATAAATGATATACAAAATATCATACTGGATACCTATATTTTGGTTAGCATATTGCGACTTCCCATTGCAAATGTGCTGCACACTTGTTTAGTCTAATGGCCAACTTAAAAAAGACCAAAAACATTATTCACTGCCAGCAAAGAACTTTTACTTTACATCAGATCGTTAGTTTACTTTTGCTTCTCAAAACACTTTGACAAGCAAAGCTTATTATTGTACTATAGCTTTAAAAATAAGAAAAGTTGCAAGTACATTTCTGTCACTGGCTAAGAGAACTTGGGTTCGATACAACAAGAAGTCAAGAGGAAACCAATAAACATCACAATAGGGAAATGATAACTAGTATGAAACCTCACCCACCAAAAGTTACCTTAAAGTAATGAATTGCGCCTCGCAAGAAGCCTCCATGGGCAGGATCTCGAAAATGGCCAATGTTTACAATCCATACCATTACACAAATGCCTGCAATAACCTAAAGGGAAATATAAAGGTTCAACAATTTACCATATGCAAGATAATAAATTTCCCTTACTATAAAGAATTTGATGAAGGTGGGCAATGGAATAAGAAGAAGTTCAGAATTTAAAATGAGTATAAATACATTACATAATCATCATAACCGAGAAAACAAAGATTTGGTGGTAAACCAGTGATTTCAGCACTAATTGAAGCAATTTGATTACCTAGCTAGTGATTGGAATGATGGATACTTGACAGACAAGGGATTTGAGAAGGAAATTAGAGTAGATTTAAGGGTTTGTTTCAATAGTCTGTAGCCTGATTCTAAAACAAACCAGCAACCAGGTTGCTCTGTGTTAGCATTGATGACAGTACTGCTGCAATTTTTTGGATACTACTTAAATATATGAGTGTAGGGATGAGTCTAACAACTCAGTTCTAAACCTATTTTAGGTTCCTTGCTTCCCTTCTTCTCTTTTCTTTCCTTCTCTCCTTCTGGCCTACAGTTCAGCATTCAACTCCCTCTTTTATCATAAGAGCTTGACAAAAAGAACCATAATAGGTGGAGATGAATACGTAGAAAATGAAAAAGAGAATAAGAAAAAGGAAAACAATCACGAGTACGTAGGCAAGGAAAAAGAGAAGAGGAAAATCAAAAACAATTGGTATGTATCTATCCCAGAAACAAAGATCGAGGAGGTAGGCAGGCAAATAAAATCACCTTGGCCAAGAAAGTACCAAATTCATCCAGCTTCTTCTTCAGTGGTGTCACTTCCTGCATCCAATTACATGCATATCATGTATGTGTTTATATATCCTGTTATATTATAAACACCACTTGCAGATGTATGCTAGGGCTTACATCTTCCGTTCTCAACATAGAATCGCGGATGCTGCCCATTGCAGTGTTGGAGCCAACTCCCACAACCACAGCTCTCGCCCTGCCAGCAACCACTATGGTACCCTGAAAAATAAATATATGAAAGTGAGTTCATTCTCAATATACAAATTAATCCTAGCAGGCATGAGGGCCTAACTTAAACAAAAACTCCCAAAGAAAGAGGTGAACATCAGGTTGGTAGGAGAGCGACATTTCTTTAAAGTGCCGCATCAAATTACATAAAGAACCAAAAAAAGGGCACCCTGAAAGAATCAAAGTTAAAGAATACCTTAAACAGAGGTCCACTATATAAATGAGCAGAACAACAAAACTACAATAGAAGATCATGGCAAGCATAGTATAACTTTGCTTTTAACAAATATGACCAAATGCAGAGGCAGATAAACAAAGTGAATATCAAAATTAAACCCACCCATATGTAGTGAATTTAGATCATTTAGATGAATAGGATAAGATAACAAGCATAACAATTATATCAGGTTAGGCTTCAATCCTATACCTGCGGGCAAATAAATTCAGATTTACACACATACCTAAGTAAGATGAGCACATGTGAATATACAATTTTGACTGCATAAAACCCAAATAGAACACGGGTATTATTAGAAATGTGTGAATATATGTAAACACTCTTCTATTAGGTAGAATGTACATAAAGGTGCACACTTTCATACAGATATATATGGTTCTGGCCATATAATGACATATAAATTGAGTTGTTCTATGCGAAATTATATAGTGCTCTAATCCAAACATCTTATCTCAGAGTTGAACCAACTGTGCCCTGCCTTAAACGAGCTAGTANTGGTTCTGGCCATATAATGACATATAAATTGAGTTGTTCTATGCGAAATTATATAGTGCTCTAACCCAAACATCTTATCTCAGAGTTGAACCAACTGTGCCCTGCCTTAAACGAGCTAGTATCTAGCATGGGTTTAAAACTGATGCATAATTGCAACACTAGATTATCATTTTACCTGAACTTGTTGTATTAATGCCAAACTCCTTACGGATCATGTGAGTCTTGTCTATCTAGCAAGTTAAAATGTTGCTGGCACTCATTTCATAGATTTTATAGGACAATCATTAAGTTGTCAGGCTTTACCTACATGACTGAAAAAGCTCTGAGGATTTTACCGAGAAGAGGATATTCGTCTTGTCTTGGTAAACTGCGTTTGTCACTGAGGTGGAATCAAGCTCTTTTTCCACAGAACAGCTCTCACCTACAGTCAACAAACAAAAGTGCTTTACGAAGATAATCAAAACTGTGCCAAGATGCTGCTACCGTGACATGAAAAAAAAACACCACCAGGCGTGACAAGTGGCAGTTCCACAAGTATTAATTTCTATGACATTTCTGGATAGGCCCTCCCCCAACACAAAACCCAAAACTCCTACCAACCGAAACCCTGATCAAGGCAGAATTTAATCCTTTGGTGAGTGGTAGTATTACACAGAGATTTTACCAGATACATTAGTTGGCTCCTTCATTAACATGAGATTTCATAGGAAAACTTACAACCATAATAAAAATGTGAATCAGCAAACAATAAATGAAGCAGTCATGTGGCACAGCAATTGATCCTCTAATCGACTAAGCAAACAATGTAAGGATTAGATGTTTGTAATCACCTTTTGACTCATCCCATTCCAGGTGGTGTTTTTTTTTTTGGGGGGGAGGTGATGTTAAGAATTCGCTTTACGGTAATGTGGCAAGAGTATTTCTAAAGATGGTAATGGGCAGCCATCAGACCATTGAGCCCATGTAGATATGAGAAGTACTGACAACTTTTGATCTAGGACAGAATGATAGAAATGAAAACATCAAAATATTGAATGGACTCTCAGATTATTGAGTGTTGTGAGGTGGTGAAAAGAGGCCAAGGCATCCACGTGATTGGAATGGTAGGTATGCTACAACTGTCGGATGCAATGAATGTTCAGAGAATAGCAGAAAATAAAGTTTGACTTTGCTAACGGTTAGATTGGATGTAAACCATACAGGAATGTGGACTAGGATTGCCTTGATTGTGTCAAATGTTCAACTGTTTATCAAGCTTTTGCAAGCCTGGGTACCAATGCATGAGGGAAACAAATCCAAAATAATATCCATGCATATGTATAGTTTGAGGGAAAAAAAACAAAAGGAGCACCAGTCATACTTTCAACTGTTTTATTAACGAGGCCACCTTGGAACAGGCTCAATGCAAAGCCCAACAATAAATGCAAACTAAAGTGGGGAAGTAAAAGGGACTTATTTACAACCTTAAATAAAGGTGGCTTGTCACTTTTTTCCTCCCTACATGCTTCCCTAAAATAAACACAACAACTTGAAAACTTAATGCAACGTCATGATGCATATATATTTTTCAAGTTTACCCACTGGAACATGAATACATTGTACATGATATGGAATTGGTAATGGAATAATGTCAAGGAATTACATATCAAATATACCTGTAAGAATTGCTTGATCAACACGTAATTGATCAGTTAACATCTCAATCATTCTCATATCTGCTGGTATTTTGCATCCCACTACACATTCCACACAGAAACAAATCAGTTTAGTCAGGTCTTGACATCTATATTATTATGTATAACAACCAAATTCCACGGAAGATAGCTTGATAAGTTTTCCCTACTAAAATACTAAATTCTCATAATTTTGATTTATTTAAGTGGTATCCTTCAATTAAACTCTTCCATGCAGCTTATGTAACCACTTCTACCATCTTTGCTAACTACCCCGCATTTGAAGCTTCCACTATCTTTGGTGACTACACATTTATATCCTTTTAAAAAATAATTTAGCACAATGTGGATATTTTCTCAATAATGTTGTGGGGTGGAGTGGGGTGGGGTGAGGCCTGTGAGGATGGGGGTGGGCGTGGATAGAAACTATAAATTCCGTGCATCACACGAAGCAGCCACTAGTTGTTTGGTTATGAAATCTATGTTTCGCATTTTTCTATGAGTTATTGTAGACCAGCTTACCACTAACTTCTACTATATCCCCTGGGACAAGGTCTGTTGCAGGTAATATGGAGAAGCAACCTGAAAAATTATATGAACAAGAATGATCAAAGTCAAAGCTCAATGTAAATGCGAAGTGAAATATGAATATTCATAAAATCACACAACCAGTATAAAACGAACTCATGGTATAATGTTACACAATATAGAATAAAAAAATACAGAAAGCTCAAATAGGCTGCTTAATAAATGAAAATGTACCCTGCTATATGTCAGTGAGGAACATAAAGAAAATATCCATAACAAAACCTTATGCTCTGCATGTTCTGTGATAAGCTGTAGAGTTATCTAGGATAGCAGTCCATTAAAATACTAATAACCCTTCAAGATCCCAGAGTTCATTCAGAATATGAAAACCCATCCAGACTATTCTAATTTCTCCATAAGACCATGTATATGAACAACATGAAGTAAGCTCTCAATTAACAGAATTATAAATCCACAACAGCCCAACTCAAGAACAATTTAAGTGGCCAATTAGCAGCAACAGCATTAGTGAATCATACTCGCTGAGGATGACTAAAAGCAATCTATAACAGGAGTGGACTAGCCACAATGCAGATACATTTTCTTATACTTGAATCTCTGAGAAGAAAAACCTCCACATTAGAAGAAAAGAGGGGAAAAGACAGTGACGAACCCTTAAATTCAGAACTTCCAAGGGAAATGGAAAAATCCACACCGATACTCAATTTAATTATTCAAAACTCCTTTCTAAACTAGCCAAATCGTAATAGACATAACAAACTTTCAACTACCATCTGGATACTTATTTCCAATGTTTCCTTTACCATTTCTCAGGACAGTTGCCGTATCAGCTTGGTAGGCGCGAAGCTCCTACAATGGAAGGGAAAACAAAAACAAAGAGTAAGATAAAGCTAAAAAGAATTCAAATTCAAAAAGAAATCATGAGAGAGAGAGAGAGAATGAAAACTTTATTTTTTCACAAACGAAGAATACAAAAATGTAAGAGTTCTTCCAACAACATAGACAATAATAAGGGGACAAAAAACCAACACTCTAATTTTACAATAGGAAAATGTTGAGAGTTCTATGATGTTCAAACATAAAGCTTGGTTATATCTGATACAGGTTCAAAAATTCACCAAGTGCACAGACAAATGCATTGAAGGCCATAGTGAAATAAATTCATGGAAACCATCACTATCCACTGCAATCAACATAAGCACTTTCCGTAAGTGTGTGGCTCATTCAATCATCAATCAAAGAAAGATTATCACCCATTTTCTTTTTAACCATTTTATCGTATATCCAAGAGAATGTGGCACCCAAGGAGAACATTATGACTTCCTCTAATCTCCACTATTAGCATTTTGGCAAATAATTAATTCAGCCAAACAATCCATTAAATTGAGCTAAGGGCATCACTCACGAGAACAAAATGCTAGAAAGAAAGAATTCATAAACAAGCATCATCAAGGTGAGAAGCTACACCTGTCAAAATGACAATTCTCATCATGCCCGAACATAGACAGTATGTTAAACATGAAATGTGAATACTGAATAACAACACCGCCTCTATTTCTTTAGTCCTAGATATATAGGCACATCTTCAAGGAAAAGGGAGAAAACTCAAGTACACCACTCAAGAAATGTCTACTATTACTTTGATGAATAACATGCATAAATATGTGAGACGTGACTAGATTATTCATGCATTCTCCCCTGTATATAACTTTCTAGTTATTTTACTTGTTTCTTGTTTTGCTTCTTTTCTTTGGGTTTTGGTTTTTTTTTTTTTTTTT